CTCTCTCTCTCACTCTCTCTTTCGCAGCACGGACCGGTGAGAGTTCAGAGCACGCGATGTCGTTGATCAAGACGCAAGTGAACTTACAGTGTTTCTACTCGATCTTTTCATCAGGAAATCGATATAAATGCTGACCTCATGTTCAACAGTGAAGAGTGATTTCTGGGAAAAACTGTGTTTTGGCGGTACTGAATCAAGTGAGCACTTCATGCGAAAAATTGTGAATAATCTCTCTTGATTACTCTTTCCATGTGAAAAATTGATAAATATGTCCCCTGAGAAAATCCAAATGGGTTCGGACAGTCATCAAACAGGACCTTTCCATATGTTTTCCAAAGCCTTAAGAGTTTTTTCTAGTGTGGTATCATAATACAGTATTTCTAACGGGAGCTGCTGTACCACAGAATGGTAACTAAATCTGGGATCCGCCTCAATAAGTGCGTTCAATTTCTATAAATTTCATTTGATTGGTCGTCCTGGTTAAAGTTTAATGATGCCTTCAGAAAGTAAGAGAAACAAAATAAGACAAGAGAATCTTTTCCTCACGGAGAGAAAAATTCAATAAAAATTACGAGAAAAGTCCCGTAAAAATTACGTTTCAAAACGTAACCTGCCAGCGAACTCGAATTCCATAAGAAGTGTGAGTCAGAACTGAAACTTTACGATTTGTTCCGTAAAAATTCGTCACTCGACTGCTGACTCACGGCGGGGGGAATTTTTAAGCTCGAGGCACGTAATTTTTCTTGAACGATCCTGAATTTTTACGGGGGAATTTTTAAGCTCGAGGCACGTAATTTTTCTTGAACGATCCTGAATTTTTACTTGACGTGTTTTTTTTTTATTGAAAACTGACGAGATGAAAAAATCTGAAACATTGTTTTTTATAATTTATTTATTTTTCATAAAAAAAACATACAAAGGAAGAAATGAAAGGTAATTTTAAAGAATAGAAATTGAATTTAATCCCATACTTTGAGGATATATTTTCCGTTCACAGACCTTACGATTTTGGTAATAAAGTACTCCTTAACATGCTCAGGCAACAAAAATAACCTCTTCCTTCTCAACTTTCTTTTAATGTAATCGTAGTGTTCATAGAGACATCCAGCTATAGGAATTCTTCGATCATTGGCTCTCCTGTATTCTCTATAATAAACTCGAGGATTCTCGCCAATGAACACCTCGCTGATTTGACGAGCCCAGGTCTGGAATTGATTTTTCGTAATTCGAAAAGATCTCAAAGAGATTAGCCCTTCCTCCCTGTATACTCTATCAAATTGCCTGTCCTTTTCTCTTCTAATTATTGTCCGACTGAGTAAACTTCTTGAAATTTTCTGTAGTCTTCCCTCATTTTCGTATGCCTTGATAACTGTTTTAAAATCCGTATCATCTAAAAATTCTTGAAATAACGGCTAAAATCAAAAGAAAAAATCAGACACATTTCAGAAATTTTTCAAGAGGAGCTAGCCACTTGCAACTCTCAAATCAATCAACTTACGTGTTGGGTAATCTCTGGCCTCGCAAAATAGCCCTCTGCAGCCTTAAAAAATATTTATTTTCGACTATATAGATTTTTTATTTTCAATTATGAAAATGGAAATGAGAAAGGAATACTAGGAATATAATAGTATACGGAAGAGTACAGTTCATTGGGATTAGAGTCAAAGAATGAGAAAAACACCACGACTGATTTCGAAGAAAATAAAATAGCGACAGAAATGCATGCAAAGAAATATTGATTGAAAAAAAGATATAAATGCTTAATGAGATGTCCAATTTCTTCTCTCGCTGCTCAATTTCCTTACCATGATTTTATGAACTGGAAAAAAATTTAAAAAAACACAAAACAGATTCAGTCGTGCACAATGAAACAAAATGAAAAAAACCTTCATCACATATATGAATTGCTGGTGGGAGGGAATTTGTAAATGGATCAGGGGACAAAACTTATTCAAAAAAACACTTTTGACTCGACACCAAGGAATAATTATTTTAATTCAATAATTAGTTGCACTCACGTGTTCACCATGCTTGAAACACGTGAGTGTTTGAGGTTAGAATGCAAAGATGCAAACTATTCAGCAAAGCCGGCCGTAGAGTAACCTCTTAGATAACTGATTATTTAACAAGTGACCACATAAAAATTATACTTGCAATTAATAACTCCTGATCCTGATTATAATTCTGTCACTTTTCACTTTCACTATTGCTGCGATTTCCCTGTCTGCGATTTCACGATCTTTCTGTCTCGAACTTGCCGAAAAGTNCTCTTCAGTGCCCAGTTTCTGATCCGGATATGACTCCGGCATAACTGCAAACATGAATGAGCTCGTAGCATATGAAACATGAATNACGTTCCGTAAAAATTTCCCGCCAGTTCCGTAAAAACTTTGAAGTTCTACGTGAATTCTTACGGCTCGAGCCGTATTAAATCGTGAAATGTGGGTTAAATTTTCCAACTTGTCATCCTTAGGGAGAAAAATTACGTGCCTGCCCGTACTTTTTCAGTTACAGACCACAGAATTTACTGAATGTTTCAGATTTATTATGTTTCATTCCCTTAAAAATCAATTGAAAACGACTCTCGCTGACAGATTACGTGACTTGTTCCGTAATTTTCCTTGAATTTTTCTCTCCGTGTAGCCACTCCTGTCTGGGTGGTATACTCGTTCTGAAAGTTTTCCTGATCTGATACTTCCTAGGAATCCTATCCGTCTTACCTATGAAGGGTCGATCATTGATTAGGCTAAGCCTTGTATGGCCTTGGCCCGTCATCTTCCATTCTAGTTGGCACCTTAGTCTATATGCAGTTGTGGTAGCACAACTCACAACCCTAAGGTCGAGGGGTGGGATACTGAGTGCTATTTCTAGCGCCTCAGTAGGTGTCGATTTCATGGCTCCTGTTGCAGCCCTCAGGAAGGTTCCCTGTAGGCTTTTCAACAGGTTCCTTGTTTCCGTCTTACTCACCCTCGGCCACCAGACGACCGCAGCGTATAACAGTCTCGGAAGTAGAACTATTTGGTAGAGCCAGAGCATCATTTTAGGATTGAGTCCCCATGTCCTGCCCACAGCTCTCCTGCATGCCCACATAGAGGCAAACACTTTATTTCTCTGAGTACAGATATGTTCTTTCCAGCTGAGTTTATTATCCAGGAGGACACCCAGATATTTCACTCTGCTGGTGTAGTTAATCTCCGAGCCATTTAGCTTCAGAGGTTGGATCTTTTCCAGTTTATAATTTCTGGTGAAAACCAGGATTGTTGTTTTGGCTGGATTTACCGATAGGCCAGTTACCCTGCACCAGTCCTCAATGATATTGAAGGCTGTTGCCATCAGGTCCCTTAGCACCCTCAGAAATCCGCCTTTCACAACAACTGCCACATCATCGGCGAAACCGATGACGTGGAAGCCGGCCTCACTTAGTTGATTTAGAAGTCCATCTACAACCAGGTTCCATAGCAGGGGCGAGAGAACTCCCCCCTGCGGACAGCCCCTAGTCGGACGTCCCTCCACACATGCCCTCCCATGTCCTGCCGACAGTCTTCTG